GCCGGGGCGGGCGGCCCCGCGGGGCGGCCGGGGAGCCGCTGCCCCCCGCCGGGCCCCGCGTGGGAGCCGGGGGGTCGGTCCGTGCCCCCGTCAGGGGATGGAGGGGTCGGGAGGGGTCGGTCCCTTCTGTCAAGGGATGGGGGTTCGAGGGGAGATCGGTCCCTTCCCTCCTGTCACCGTATGGAGGGGCTTGGGGGGGGGGGTGTCGGTCCTTTCCCGCCTGTCAATGGATTTGGGGGGTTGAGGGGACCGGTCCCCCCCCCGTCAGGGTCCATTTTGGGGTCCCCGGTGCCGGGCAGGGCCCGCGGGTGGCACTCGGAGGCCGCGGCCGTCGCCGGCACGGTGCCGCTCTGGGCCAGCGCTGGGTGCGGGAAGGGGAGCGCTCCCTCTCGCATCGCAGCGCAGCTGAGGGAGGCCACAACCGCCTGCTTTTGTGCCGCCCGCCCCCCAAAACGGAAAGAAAAATACCCGTAAAATTTCTTTTCTCCACATAGAAATAAAATAAACTCTGCCGCCTCGCTCTTAAGCCGCGCTTCTGTCAGTCCAGCCTGCTGCACCCCAGAGGAAGCTCTTTTGCAACGGCTAACCTCTTACCCACAGCTCCTCTATTTATAGCTCCATAGGCATCTGCTGCACCACACCTGAAAGCTGCGCCGCGCGAGCCGAGCCGAGCGRAGCGAAGCGGAGCCGAGYGGCGGCCTCGTGCCGTCCCCRGCGCGGGCCCAGCCCTTCCGCTGCCCACAGGGAGCTCCCGCTCGCTCCCGGTACCCCCGAATGGAAAAGTCGCTTTCCGTCCGTGYGGAAAATGGCATCACTTGACCCATGGCTCGTTGCTAAACAAAAGCTGAGCATCTGGCAAAGCGGTGCCTGCATGCGGAGGAGAAACGCTGAGTTTCTCCAGGCTTTTGAGCGAGTCCCATTGGAAAGTTTTGTATTTTTTACTTTTTTAGGCAAGTTCTATTTATCGCTGTTTTTGTTTTGCCGCCTTTGTCTGACTCGCACTGCCAAGCGTGTGCTAATGCTGCGGCAGATGATTGGGCAGCAGCTGGCATCACTGGCTACGTCTCCGCATCTGCCTTGCCTTGCTTCAGTGCTGCCTTACGAAGCCTGTCGGAACGATTAAACTCGACTCTGCGATTTGCATCCTCCGTTCTGGACAGGTCCCGGTTTGCTGCAAATTGTTGGGCTGAATTTCCCGCCTAGGTTGATTGTTCTCAGCTCTTAATATCAGCCAGACTCACTGCTGAATTTAATAGGATATTGTTAATGCAGGAAAAACTCAGTAACTCCAGGGGTTGCTCAAAAAGGCCTATTTTGGAAACACTCAATTTAGGCACATATCTGTCCCATCAAAATGTGGGAATGTCAGTATTTTGCATATTTTAGGTTCTTAATTAAAATATAAAAATACGCAGAAAATGCAGTAAGTTCAGGTGCTGCCAGGTTTTAGTTCTCGTTGTGCAAAGAATGGTACRTAACCTCATTAAGTTCATTAAGGCACCTTACTCAGCTCCCTGAAAACCTGCCACCTCTCYTTTTATGATTTCTTAAGGCTAGAGAAAAGCAAGGGGTTGGAGAGAACTTCATTTACTGTGATGTTCTAAATAATGATCAGTAATTAAGAGGAACTCTTGCAAGATTAATAATTGTTGCAATCTACCTGACTTGCATTTTGGAGCTCTTTTTTTTTTTTTCTTTCTTTTTTTAATCAGGATTGCTTTATGGAATTTTAGCCTATCGTGGTCTAGGAAGATGTGAATCATGTAGAGTAAGGCACTTCTAGCAGTTTCTGGTAGGATATCATTTGCCCTTTCTTCAGATGTAATCATCGGTCTTACTGACCTTCCTCATTATCATATAAAAGCTATTAAAACATGGGTGGGGTGGAAATACTTTACGAATACTAYAGTAGATCAAAACAGCTTTTGAGGTTAGCCCCTTATGTATAATGATCTGTGCCTTCATCCTTCAGATTTTGCTGCTGCTGCCAAAAATCCTTTTAAGAACGTCTTTAACACACTTTTTGTTTAAGAGGCAGGACTGTAATCGGCTCATCACTGACTCCAGAATTCTGCCTTTTTCATGTGGGAAAGTGGTAGGAATAAATGTTTCAGATTTTAGGACGCCTTCCAGCATGGTTAGCAGTGCTGCAGATCTTGTGCCAAACAACCGCAAAATTGAAACTAAAAACTTACCAGGCAACTCATCGCTCAGAGTCTGTTGATTTCGCTACAGATTACAGGCTTGCAAAAATAAGTAGTCATTTATGTGACTATAACATAACTTCTGTTCAGTCACAGGGCTACTTCTGCTCAACAAAAGCGAAACAAATAAAAAAATGTTTTTATGGCTTCGGGCAGCACTGGCACMGGAAATTTATTTATTTTTCCTTTCCATTCTGTTATAGCTATGAGGCAGATTTCAGCATTGCTATATTTAAAACAAATGAAAATCTATTTTGATTCAGTAAGTAGAGCAGGCCAAACACATTCAAAAGACTTACGTAGCTCTAGCTTTTTAAAATAATTATAAATAAATAAATAAATGTCAATAAACCCTGTGTTGCTAAAATCTGTAACAGGGCACACAATGGGATCTGGATGGTATGCCCAAAGCAAACTAACATTCCTTATAAACTGACATAGTAGGGAATTGGCATAACCTTTTGAAAAGTAATAATAGTCTTTTTTTTTTGGCAATTGTAGGACAAAGATAAAAAAATGTGCATTGCATTTTAAGCGTATACATTTTCAGAATAGTTCACTGAAACCTCCAATTCTTTGATTTCATGTTAGCAATCAGAAGGAGTATTTTCTGAGTGTCTTGATTTGAGGACAGCAGGCTTGCAGAGGTGACAGCGGGGCCAGGCTTGGCTTGCAGAACCCTCATAAACGGTGATGGAGAAAAAYCTTACTCTTATAGCTGGGTKTGAGGGAGGAAAAATATAGTTGGAGTATAAACTCTCTTGATCTAGGCAGTGTTGTGTTAAAAACAGGATCCTGAGAGGAGCACAAAGGCMGCGCCGGCAGGGCTCTTGGAAGAGGCGCTCGGTTTAGGCCTTAATCCACCCATTGGAGCCCTCCCTGCGAGGTTTTCCGTGCAGCACACACTGCGTGGCTGCTCCCGGAGCTGGAGGGGTATCCTGACGAGTACGGCTGCTCCGCATCGAAACCAGCAATGCTCTCTGTTACGGTGATGTTACAGTCCGGAGGAAGAGGATGCTGGCGCTGACACGACATAGTGTTCCCTGGGGTTGCTCTGAAATACTGCCGTGGCTCCGCATGATCCTTTCTAGCCTAGAGATGTGGATTCTCTTGATGACCATCGTGTCCCTACAGAAAAGGGAAGGCTCAGCTTGCAGCCCCGGTGAGCTGGGAAGCGGTTCTCGTTCA